ATATATATATATATATATATATATATATATATACATATATGTATTTAAGTCTTTATCAGTAAGTTAATGAACACCTTTCCATATTTTAAACTAAATGAATGTGATACATCACCATCAATCTAATATTTTAAGTAAAACATAATTGATACTCTAAAAAATATATTAGAAGAGATTTCAAACTTAGCCTTTGCAAGTGAGTTTAGTACATCATTACAAAACTAATGTTTTAAGTGTAAAAATATATCAAATAATTTTTTTTAATTTTAATTTTTGATAAATGAATCCCGTACATTATCATATATGAATATTTTTAAAAAAATTTATTGATGCCATATGATATAATATGGCCTTTTGGCTCCAGCAGGTTTTGGTTGATGCTTTCAGTGATGTGATGTTTTTCTTTGTGGCCAAAAGATACTTATTCCCAAGATGAATAATTTTACTCGAAAATAAGCATGTAACATGAAGTTTTCTAAGTCAGATCTACGTTCTAAGCACGCCTATGAATATGTTTTAGTAACATTTTAAAGAGAGATACTCTTAACACCCGGTTTAGTGTGATACTGCTGAAAGTTGACAAGTGGGCAAAAGGTTATTGACTTAAGAGCCGATAGATAATTTAACAAGGCAATTATCTCATCACAATTAATTTAACACAAGGGCATGAGGAAGGAGTGGGAGTGAGAAAGGACATGTTATGACATGGGATCATTATTGGATTATTCCTATGTTATAGTTTGATTCTACCATTTTGAAAAGAATGTGAAACCCTTAAATGAGAAAGATTGCAACTCTAATTTAATTCAATTTCAAAAGTGGGCAAAAGACTAATATTGACATTAGATTCTGCATTATAAATATTATCCCAAAGTACTAATAAGATGATTGCTTCTATAGTTCTATTAAACTAGTGGAAAAACTTATCTTAAAACATAGCTATAACCTTAATAAGCATTTTATAATGACTGTATATCGTTATGCTTCACAATAGTTTATTGTTAGTTAGTTCCATCTTTTGCTAGTTTATTGTTACCTATTTCCATCTCAAACGAAGTATGATATTGCACTGGACCTATTTATTTCTAATCAACTCAATGTCACTTTCGGTAATAAGTTGAACAAAAGTAATCACACTGCTTTGCAGTGCTTGCAGTGTTGATATGGGATATAAATACAAAGTGCAATATTTAGTGAGGAGTGGTTGGTGATTATATGGGATATAATCTCTCCATTCAGTAATCAAATGGAGAGAACTGCCACGAGCTTGTATGAGGGAGAAGGCAATCTAAAGCACTTTTTCCGATGAATTTGTTACTCCAAGAAGTGATCTTTTCTTATATTCCATATTATGATCTACTATTAATAAGTTCTTGTGGTCTATTCCTTTAAGAGTTGAAGGATTAGCAATACTTTATTAATCATTAGTTATAAAGATAAATCTTTATGTCTACATTTACACTTAATTCTTTGTGGCCAAAATTTGGAGAAACATGATTAAATACTTTATTTTTATAAGTAAAATATATAGAAGTCATAACATAAAAATATATGGATTAAAATACTAAATAAAATTAATCAAATTTATAATTAACTCGAAGGAAAATGAGGAGAAGGTAAAGATCGAAGAGGATAAAAAAAAAGGATCAGTGAATCAATTCAAAGAATTTTAAAAAATATATATTAAAATGAGAGGGTAAAACTAAAATTTAGAAAATAAGTGTTCCCCATTTGGTTCTCAATGTAGACCCGGTTCGATTCCGTTTGCAACCGAAATCGAATGAGATCAACGGTTCCACAGGTTAACTGGAATCGGAACCATATGGTTAGGTTTCGAATTCAGAATATTAAAATCTGTTAAAAAAAATTAAAATATATATTAGTTTGAGTGGGTAGCACATTTTTTTATCAATACAGGTGGCCGCGAAATTGACATGACCGAACTGAAACCGGCAGTTTTAAAACGGCTTTCGATAGCATCATATCGGTCGAGCGCAAACTAAAACACCGGAAACGGAAAACACACAAATCGGTATTTATCAGCGAGCGAGAAATGAAGACGTTACGAACAAACAAAAAATAGCAACAATTAATCTAACCTCTCCTTTTCGGCTCTTGTTTTCTTGCTTGTAATTTGAATTGATCTTGACCTTGATCCTGATTGGGCGCGATCAGCACCGGAACCCTAGAACGGATCCGTCGGCGGAGGAGGCCCTGACGCGGCAGTTGGCGACGGCCTCGACGTGGTGCGTGAAGAACCGCAGGACCCGGACGCGGCCCTTGACCCTCATCCTCGAATTCACCTCGACCGTTCCCCCGGGGGCGGGCGGGACGGCGGCCAGCGGGAAGGAGTCGACGGCGAAGGAGGCGGCCATGTACTGGGTGCGGCCGCCGGCGATCTGACCGGCTGGGATGAACATGAACCCCACCTGGTTGCCGGCGTAGACGAGCTGGAGGGTGCTGTCGTAGTGGGAGAAGGCGGCGCGGTTGGGGTTGCGGACCGAGGCGTACTGGTCGAAGGCGAAGCGCAGGGTGCCGTTGGCGGCGGCGAAGCCCGGGAGCCGGACGGCAGAGACCTGGATCTCGGGGTCGCGTGGCCGGAAGAGGACGAAAAGCGCGGCGGCGACGGCGGCCACGACGAGGAGGAGGAAGGCCGTCGCTACCAGGCAAGAAGCCAGGTTCGTCCGGCCGCCGTCGTCGGGGGATTTGGCCATTAGGGCGTGGAGATTTCCCTCTAACTCCTCCCAACCCCTTTCTTTTACTATGGGGGGAATACGACCGCGAAGCGAAAGTGAAGCGCAAGAACTCGACAGCTTCACTCACTCTGTTTTGCTCGATATAGATTGCATCGCATACGGAGGAGAGCGGCCGGAGCGGGGGAAAGGAGAGGGATGGTGAAGGGAAAGTAGCGGGTAGGTGGTGGAAGTGGGATGCTTTCACATGCTCTGCTTCATGTAACTGTTGTTTAATGCTTCAATCATTACATGAAGCATCACTTCTCAGTGTTGACTGCTCGACACAAGCGGACATTTGGGCAATTTCCTTCAAAGGTCACAATTATTCTCAGATTTTTGGATAATTTTCGTGATAATTTTCATATTTTTATATTATAATTTTTTTAATATCGTTATAATAATGATTTTTATAATATTTTTATTATTAGATCAAAAATACTATAATATATTATTATTATTATTATTTATAATAAATTATTATAAATATTATAACATAATCTAATTTCAAGATAAAAGAAAAAAATAGAATTTTTCATATTTAATTTTGAAATATATTAAAACGTTCATAATTTTTATCCAAAACCATTTAAATTCTCATATTAATTATTTTATAATACCTAAAAACGTATAGTATAGTTAATATTGATGGTTAGTAGAAATTTTAATGTCCATTGTTTTTTATTTAGTGAAAAAACACTAAGAACATTGTATATAATATATATATTTATTTATATTTAAAAATATAGGTATAAATTATGGTTCTATAAAAAACTATCATCATTTATTTTAAAATATTGAAAATATTCTGAATTTTCATTCAGGCTCACTGTAAAACTCTCAAATAAAATATTTTACGAAACCTTAATACATACAATAAGGTTAATGATTAAGGTTCCTAAGAATTTAAATTAATTAAGATTGAACTATAATATTTTTAAATAAGATTATAGTATTTACATAAGAATTTAAATAATGCTTGGTTGGATTGATAAAAATACTATTACCTCTTAACTCCACCAACGAACATCCGAACATCCAAATGGAGTAATAAACTGACCGAATAGGTCAAGTTGTCACACCAAAGAATTCATAAGAGGCCAATCACTTTTAATTAATGTTACTAATTCCTCACAGTGAGGCGTTCATGAAAAGTATCAACACACGTAACCTGCTTAAAATATTTGATCCACTCTACACAGCAATTCCTCCGAGCATCAGAAGCCCACCCCCCTTCCTGTCATATCTCGTCACCAATTCGTAATAGATCATAAGGACTACAAACAAAACACACTACCTAAACCAATGAACAAATTGTTTGTATTCTTCCACCCTTTTCCTCCATGCCTCGTGTTTGTACAAAGTAGCCCATAATGCAGACCTTTTTACAGCTTACTCTCACCTGTCCTCCTGACCATAAAGGCATCCAAAGAAGGCTGCACTTCTACCAGTAATCTGATTAGTGTATTGTGTATCTAGTTACCATTGATTTGGGAAAGCCTCTCTGTAATTTAGATCCTCCCCCTGCATGAGTTGTCTGGTTGCAGAATCACTTACACGTGTACTTAACAGCCTTTGGGATATTCTATCTTTGGCTGTTACTTTCTTCTTCAACATTGATGCCAGTGTAGGCTTCTTGGTCTTGCCCTCACTTAGACTTTCATGTGAGGCATCCCTCCGCTCAACAGTGGCTTCGGAGTATGAGGTTGAAGCAATTGCAGCTTCTCGTAAAACAACTTCGTTATGTTCACGGACTTTTGCAAGTTTTGCCCTCTTCAACATCTTGACTTCTCTGTCTCTTTCCCTCACATTCTTCACTGCCTGTTTCGCCAATTGCTCAACTGTTACCTTGCCCAAATTGGGAGTTTCTTCTGCACCATTTTCACCATTGTGTTCAGTTGCCTCAGTAGAAGAATCTTTTTCGATTTCTCCAGTACTACATGGACTTCTTCCTATAGGATTTCCCAGAGCATCACGTGGTATAATAGGGCCGTGGAAGGGGCACACCCTCAAATCCTTCCTCTGGCAGAGCCCACCTTTCCTTAAAGGAGCAAGGCACGGCTGGATTTCAACTGCCTCCTCTTTATATACTGTGCGATGAACACTCAGCTCTGCAATCCTCTCTGCAGGAATAACAGCATCATAGTCCACTCTACCCCAGTGGCCGTCCAGCTCCAGTCCCCTCTGGTTGGCCAAAACATCTCTTTTTGAACCCCAGTTATCCAAGAACGGACCCCAAGACAATACAGGTGCTTCAACCAAAAGTCTTGACCTTTCGGACACCGATTGTGAACTATCAGATAGATCATTTTCTTCTGTTGGAGCTGACTTCTTGCATTTGTGTCTACTTGGAATATCTACAGAATTCTCAACTAAGCTTCTATTCATGACAGAATTCTGTGGTATGTAATCTTCTATTTTACCCTCTTCCCAGATGTCCTCCTCCTGACTTGGTGGGTCATTCAGCACACAACCTACTTGAACACATCTATTCCTAACAGACTGGATAACATTACGGATGTCAATGAACTCCTTTAATGCGGTGTCCCTGAATTTGTGGTCGTTGAGATCGACTCTGATGAGTACAGATATCCACTCTTGTACTGATGTCAAATGCTTTGAGATTAGAAGCTTGAACAACTCCCTCAGTGCATCAAAGATAGCTTTATTGTCGTTGTCCTCCTGGACCTTCTGGCCTTCCTTTAAGGAATCTAGACGAATTTGCCGCAATGTAAGTGACTGAAATTCTCCCACCTCATCATCTTCACTAAAGTTATGCAGATTAAATTCCTCTTCTTTTTCATTAATAATTGCTAAACACTCCCCAATTTCATCAATTGTCAACTGAATTTCACTCTTGATAGAGGAGAAATTATCCTTTAGATTTTCAAACTTATTAAGTAAAATCTGCTGTGTCCTCATTTCCCTTTCTCTTCTCTCTTGCTGCAAGCGAGCTGCAATTTCTAACCGATTGGGGAATTGGAATCTGAGAGTGTTTTTCAGGTAATCGAAACCCAATCTTAGCTGCCTATAGTAAATCCCATAAGAGGAATGCCATTTCTCTAGCAGCTCTATGCTCATCTTACGCAAATTGGACGCAATGGAAGATGGAGGTGGAAGAGGCATATTTCTCCTGAAACCAACACTTAAGCTCAAGAACTGGTCAAAGTTGATTACTAGCAGAGATCTGAATAGCTTCGAACGCATGAAGAGTTCATCAATGATAAGAACGGCCAGGTAGCGCACCTGCAATACAGCAATCTCATCAATTCCATCAATTGGAGGAGCTTCTATTCTAGAAATTCAAGAAAAAAGTACAACATATTAAAATAATATATGCCATGATGCAGAAGAACAAACCACTGTGCACCTTTCAACTAGCAGCAGTCGATCATATAATCTCTAAACTTGATCAACATCACAAACCAATTATTGGACGCTCTAAAGTAAATTAACACAAGGGCATCAATTAGTTTGTCATCACTTATAACATACATATGCTAGCATGTTTTCCAAAGAATACAAATCAAAAAACTACATCAATGGGTTTCATAAAGTATAATTTAGTTGACAATGTAAAACCACCATAACCAAGCCTAGTAATCAGCAAGTCTATTGTGGTGGTCAAGGAATGAGAGAGATTTTTTTTTTTGAAAAAGACAAGCATGTCACCTGCACCACCCTCTTGGCCTTCCCCAAGTTCTGGAACAATCAAGAAATTACAGGTTTGATATCATTCCACATTTGAATGAACAAAATATGTGAAAAACTGTTCAAGTTGTCATTCATTAATTTACTTCCAACTCCCAAAAAGATTATTGGATTTTCTCATTAGTTAAAGCATTGAAAAATGAGAATTAAAGGTCTCTTGCCCTCTTATCTCTTTGGAATGATGAAACTAAAAAAAATGAGATTATGGAATAATTGACATATATAAGAAAATAAACATACATCTACAGTTTATACTGGTTTACGTTATCAGAACAAATATGTTCTCACACAATTGATAAAGTGTCAACTACTGTTTATGGGCATAGATTGTCTAAGCATGACAATGCGAGATAAATAAGAAAAAGAAGTGCTCACTGACTTTCCATGACCAAGGTAAGAAGAATGTGATTAAATTAGAGAAGTGAATGAGTTTCTTTGATGAAAGGATTCAAGGGCTGGGAACAGCTCCAAGGAGCAAAGACACAATACACAGAACCAAAAAGAAAAGGCCTATAGGAGAGCAGCAGCGAGCAGAAGCCATATGAATTCAGGTTTAATTGTCATGTCTAGGATTAGGCAAATGCATATGTGTAGTTTAATTGGATTCAAGTAAGCTGAAATCTAGATTAAACTAGGTCATACCTATATTACTTTGGTTTATAGGATGCAATTTGGGTTAATTTGTCTTTCCTTTCTTGTATCAGTATTTTGAAACAATTAACTAGTTAAGTTTAGGTCATGGCTAAATTAAGAACAATCTGGTTCATTCTTTCATCAATACGGCACACCTGTCAAATAAAATCAAAAAGAAAAAGAAAGTTGCATAGTCCACGATTTACTCCAGGCAGCTAGTCCATTTCTCTATATCAAAGAATCAAATGTTCTAAAAGAGCATGCATAACAAAGAAGACAAGAAAGATCCACCTGGCCACTCCTTCCTATAAAAGATGAAGGTCCCTTGGGAAAAGGCCAAAGCAGAGATGGAAATTCCCTTTACCTTGCCCTCAGAGGAGACATAACAAGAATCAACAAGTTTGAAACTAGCTGTTTAACAGGAAACTGTTCGCTGCTATAGGAGAAAAGAACACATGATTGTTCCAAGTTGACGAGACAAATAACCACCCTTCTCACCCTCCATGCTTCACTCTGAATAGCTGTAAAGATCTCATCCCTATTGTCTAGTGGCAACTTCTGACATACCTGAAGAATGAACAGGAGAAAATGGATGCCTTGCAAACAATATAGGAAGTCATAATTAAGGGAAGGCTATAAACTTGAACAAAATGAAAGCTCCAACGTTTTTGAAAGCCTAAAGTCCTCTTCACCAATGTTTTCCTGTTGAATTAGCAATAAAGGACCAACAGATGAGGCGAAGTGTAAAAGGAACCTAACAGAACGTACAAGTTCGGAACTTTCCTCTACTACAGGGTTAAATTCCTTAAACAACACGAAAGCTCCTCAAACAAGGAGCTTCTGCAAGTCTTATGACTTTTGCCAAATTCCTCAATTAGCTTGAAAAACTTGGATATCAATGATGAATTCCAAAGAAATCCCCGTGGAATACCCCGATAACACAAAACCCTAACGAAACCATGCTTCGCCCAAATCTCGAGCAAAAGCGGTACCGGATGGAAGTTGTGGAGACAAAGAAAACAAGATACAGAAAGATATAATATTGATTCGAATGAGGGGATTCGGATCAAGAGGACCTGGGAGTGGGGCTTCTTCATCTGGACCATTAGGGATTCAACGGCGGCGTGGACCTCGTCGTCGGAGTACCGGACCGTGTACTTGATGGCCTTGAGGAGGCGAGGATTAATCTCCGGTGCTGTGGAATTGGTGGCCTTCTCAATCAGCCTCGGCACCATCGCTGCCACCGTATCGCTTTCTTCCTCCCTCCCCATCTCGTCTCTCCTCCCACCGCTTCACCCTCTTCCTGTGACTGAAACACACCCGCCGTGGCACCTCAAATAGGGCTCACTTGCGTCGTTGGGCTCCACCTTGATTCATTATCATCTCTGCCAATTAGAAGTACGAATCGGCTCGACTCCGTCGTCAAGAGTTCGGCGGTCCGATCCAAGCGGTTTGAGCGGACCGTCCCATAAGATGGCCCAAAAGCCGATCTATGAAGTCCAAAGACCTGTTTGTAGGGTTCTAAGAATAGATTTATAAATTGATTATGATTTTACAACTGATATATAAATTATTTTTAAAAATATATAAACGATAAAAGTGGCATTTGATATCTTGTTTTACTAACTATGTTAGTTAGAACATTATTAATATTTTTTAAGATATAAGAATATATTTAATAGTTTTCAAACCTTGTAACTGAGTCTCCTTCATCATCATCAAATAAATATTTAATTCATAAGAATATATTTTAAATCTTTAATATTTGAAATATCATATTTTTAAGATATAAAAATATATCGAATAAAATTTCAACCGTTTGACCCACACACAAAATACTAACAACGATGTTTAAGATATATAGCTAATGGTAATAATAAAAAGTTATTGATGCATATGAAAGTTATTCATGTACAATACAATGATATGTACATACATTACAATTGTTGTTATTGTATGTTGGATCGGATGTGTCCATATAACATTCAAAAAAGAAATATACATAATCATCTTTTATTAATTATTATGCTTACAAATAATAAAGATTAATATAATTGAAAGGTCTACCTAACAATTCAGACAAATTACAAGGTACATATGTAGATATTTATATATAATTTTAAAGGTTTTATAGGCATAGTTGTCCTGTAGTCAAGAATTTGAAGCCAATTGAGATTAATTTTTGAGTCATATGGTGCCAAAAATTAAATATTCAAGCCGAGACTATATAAGAATTGATATGTTAAATTAGTTTAGATTAGAATATTTGATTAAGAATGAAAAGTATAATGCATAATTTGTTTAAGAGCGTTAAAAAAATTATAGCAAACCTTTTTTATAGTAAAATACAGGATTAATGTCATGATTAATATTAAGAATGATTATGTATATCCGGTCATAATCGAAGAGATAGAGTAATAATTCGTTGATTAGGTTTCTGTTGATAGTATGTGACTCATAACATGGAATTGAATCCATCTTTTTGTTGCTGTCACATTGTCTATGGGTTCTGCTCTTACATGATATGTCGATCGAATGGGATCGAGATGTTAGCCGGATGGATGAAGGTGACGTGTTGACTAAGTATTAGATTAGATAGAGATGACACGTGAGGTAACTGTCAAGGTGATAGGGCATATTTTAGCATACCTATCACGACAGCATCCATGGTAGCACGACCAACTAGGCCCCACCACCTCAGCCTTCTTTCCACGCTCAGGCTGGGGTCGTCAGGTATGACCCCAGCTGTGGAACCCGGGTTAACACCATCAAGATCAAAACCGACCTCGAGAAATCAAGACGACACTGTCAAGTACAAAAGCTGACTCCGAAAACTCGGGACAGCGCCGTCAAGTACAAAGCCGACCCCGAGAACTCAGGACAGTACCGTCAAGTACAAAACCACCCCGATACAGACATCGATCGCACAAAAGGTATGAGCTAGTCGCTTGCGAGAGTCATCATTCATTAAACAAACCCTGTATGATCAACCCTCGAGCGCAGGTATAAGAGCCAACTACCTGGCTACGCTAGGGGAGGCTTTTTCCCCAAACAACTTGGGAGAGGACTTTGAGTGAGATCTAACTCCACTAACTTGACCTTCAGAGAGGTCGGATCAGAAAACATCTCCCGACTTCGACTTGTGTGCAGAGCCCGATGACGAGGAAGCAAACGACGACCTATTCCGCTCGACCAGACCCGATGATCGGCTCAAAGTCTTCATGAGTGTCTCCTTGGACATCTGGAGTTGAATCAAACCGTGCTGACTCCTCAACCACGGTGTGAAGTTCACTCACACCATGTATCATATTTACTCTCTCCCATGTATCTCAATATATTAAACTTACGTTGAAATTTAATATACACACAATTCTGACATCAAAAAATTTGTATGTATTCAAATATCGGATCTTAATGAGCGAAGCTCCAATTGAATTGGGTCAGGTTTGAACTTGGCTCATTAGCGGGCCGAAGCCGAGGCCAACACGGGATAGAATTCTAGCTGTACGCGTATATCAACGGACAAGATTTGTCTATTTAAAAGATCTCTGTCGTCCAATTAAGAAGAACATAAAAAGATATCGATCCTATAAATCCAACGGTGGAGAGAGTCCCATAGGGAAGAGATCGCATTGCTTCTTTTCCCACGCCTGCTCGCCAAAACCCTGCGAAGCCGCTTCCACCGAAGGAAAGGCCTTCCGCTGCCCCCTTCCCCCCAATTCTGTCTCGTCTTGCTTCTCTCGCCGGGGATTTTGCCTATTTGAGAGGTGGAAGGAAAGACTCCGAAGCGAACAGGTCCACGGAAGTCAGGGAAGGAGTGGTCGCGTGGAGTCGGAGTCGTGTCTGCCCTAATCGGCTAGGCAGCAACTACGAAGAGTTCGCAACTTGTGGAGGCGGAAGAAATAGCACCAGCGGCAGAGGAAGCTTGCTTCTGTGACTTACCCTATTTAATTCTGTTTGAGTTATTGTCTGGCGATTAGGGATGAAGGTGAAGGTGATTTCTCGCTCCACCGAGGAATTTACACGCGAACGGAGCCAAGATCTGCAGGTTGGGGTTTTTCTGATTGCTTGCCTCTTTGCTCCTTGCTTTGTGCAATTGGAAACTAGGGATATGGTTTTCTCGTGTAAAAAATTGATCCTCCTCCTTCCCCCCAAAATTTCCTGATGGCCTTAAAGCTGCGTGATAGTTACCGTGTCGATTCTTTCTAGATTTGGCTTGTGAGATTACCGACTTAATGCAGTAGTCTTCTTTGGGTGCTTAAGCGGTTAGTTCGATATATTGGCCGAACCGTAATATAAGTTATGGGATTACCCTGCTGAATAATGCTGTTGCTTCTTTCTTCGATCCTTCGTTTGATCACAATACAGAAGCGCCATTGCTATGAGGACTATAATTTGAAATAGGCTTCATAGATTGATTCTTCCTTCTTGAGTCATTGTTCGTTTCTGATCGAGAGGCACTCACATATTTAGATGGATGCTGATCTTTAAGTTAGCATTCAAAGAAGGTTTGAAATTTCTTTTGTTGTTTTCCAACAGAAAGTTTTCCGGAACTATGATCCGAAGCTCCGTACCCATGAGAAGGCAGTTGAATATACAAGGGCTTTAAATGCCGCAAAGTTGGAAAAGGTAAAGTTATTTTTTTTCTATTACAAAAAAAAAAGAAGATACTTTTAAATTTTACTTTTTACATTTGTAAGCTTTCTTTATTGTTTGAATCATTGGTTTTATTGCTTATTAGATATTTGCAAGACCTTTCATTGGAGCAATGGATGGACATATTGATGCTGTATCTTGTATGGCAAAGAATCCAAATCACCTGAAAGGAATATTTTCTGGTTCAATGGATGGAGGTAACTACCACCCACAATTTCTGCACATTTTTTGTTACGTTCTGATTTCAAACATGCCTTATTCATTTAGTTGCATTTGTAAAAAAAGTGTTGTTTAAATACTCTCACTTTGTAGTTATTATTTTGTAAATAACAGTTGACTTCTGTTAAGGAAAATTGAAGTGCACTGTTTTTGTTTTTGGAGGTATATGCTTTGCTATTAAACACAGATGCTTCTAATTCAGTAATTGTTTGGTATTATGTGTTCCTTTAAGTATCCAATTTATGGATACCATAGAACTAAAGCAATTTGTTTGTGGCCATCATTATGAATATTATGGAACTAAATGCAAGTTGTCTGTACCCAACAGCTTTGTTTAGCATTTTCACATTCTATCTGATGTTGATACTCCATTACTTCTTTTGACCGTGAAAATTCACCTATGATTAAGCCATTTAACAAGAGCTTTGTCTATTTGGATTTGGATGTCTTGAACCAAATACAAATGGTGCTCTTATCTATGTTCAAGTTGACATGCTTGTTGTCAAGTGAGGCTTTACTTATTATCCACTTTTTGCAGACATTGCTGTTTCCAGTAAGCTTGCTGATTTGGGTGGTTATGCATGCTTGGTTTCTTTAATCTTTCAACTTGTAGAGGACTTGGCAATCTTAAGTTTTTTGTATTTTAAAGATGAGAAACAAAAAGTTCATTTTACTTTGATTCTCACTTTTGATAAAGTTTGCTGGTTGTGACACTGAAGAGGGTTTGTTTTCTGGGAAGATATTATGGAATCTCATAGTTTTGTCAAGGTCATTAGTCTTGTTCTTAGTCTGGCTTTTGTTCTTTTGAAATTTGTGGAATCAAATAATTGTTGTTTCACAGTTGTCAAGGTCATTAGTCTTGTTCTTACGAGTCTGGCTTTTGTTTCGTTTTGAAATTTGTGGAATTAAATAATTGTACTTCCAAAATTTATGAAACATGTTTTTAAGTTTTAATTAATGCAAAACGGAAACAGCATCATTTAAATTTGTCCTCACACTTGATTCTGGAAACAAAAAGGAAATAACAAGTGTTTAGTGGGTCCTTGGTAAACATGAGCAGTCTAATTGTTCTCTTCTCAAATATCTGTGCTATCCTAGAATTTTCAAAGTTTTAAGCAAATTGTCTGTTATTTTTTAGTCTAGTTAAAAACATATCATTGTGAATAAGGGATATATAGATACAACCTAGATTAATTAAATATCTGTCTTTTAAATCATGAAAATATGGTTACTGATATACCAAGGCTTTAACTTGTCTTTCCAAATTTAGTCTGTTATCAGTATTTTGCCTGTTGTACATGCTTTTCATTTTGACTTTCACCATGTTTTCCTTGTAACTTGACTTCTAGTACCAACTACAAACCCTTTTATGGAAAAATAATTCTAAATTAGGTATTTCAGTTTCGATAGCCTGAGTACTGTCTTATGCTTCTGAAACCATAATGTGGTGCATTAAGTTTAGCAGAAGGAAGATATGCTTGTATGTAGAGTAAGATAATATAGATTGTGTTAAGTGTTAACACTGTTTATTTTCTTTTTGCTAACAGTGTTTATTTTCTTTTTGCAAGTCTAGAATAGGGTTCCGGAGACTTTATTTTTCTTATTTGCATATCTTAGACATGTTTTGCTTATTTTTTTGTCTCCTTTTTTACAATGTTTGGGTAGATGGTATGATATATTTTTTAACATATTGTCTTTCTGGCAGATATTCGTCTTTGGGATATAGCAACGAGGTGCTTCTCTAAGATCTCAAATTTTTGTTCTTTTTATTTTTTTACTAAGATGAGTTTTTTTTCTTCTTTTGTTGGGGAGATGTATTGACTGAAATTCATCATTTTTAAAAAATTACCTGAAATGGTTTTGGTGGGAAATCCACTTTGTCACACCCAACTTCAATGGAATTGTTCCTCTATGAGATGAATTGGCCCAATTCTGATTAATGTTAACCCCCAACAACTTATTTATCAGGAAAACAGTTTGCCAGTTCCCTGGTCATCAAGGTGCAGTGCGAGGTTTGACGTCATCTACTGACGGAGAAATGCTCATATCATGTGGCACTGATTGCACGTGAGTCATTGCTGCTACTTTATTCTTTTTTTTTTTTGTCTTAATTCTTTATGCAATGATTTATCTCCAGTTGTTCTTCAGCATGTACAACAACTTGCTTACAGTTAAGTTTCTGATATTCAGATTTTTGATAAAAAAATATATGATGATGGGAATGGATTCTGATGTGCATGCTTTCTCTGTGGGGTCTTGAACTATGGTTATTTTTCTTTGACCATTTGAATTCTGAACAGTGTCAGGCTATGGAAAGTTCCTCTTTTGAAAATGATGGATTCTCGTGAATCAGATGAAGATTACTCAAAGGTATGTAGGATCTTTAATCAACAGAATCACACAGATTTATTTTGTGTTCTTTTTCATTCTACCCTGGCCTGCTTAACTGTTATTTTCCCAGTTTCAGCCACTGGCAGTTTATGTGTGGAAGCATGCCTTTTGGTGAGGATTCTTACTGTTGTTTTCTCGTAAATGAATTGTGTATATTCTTTCGTCATTTATCAACATTAATTTTTTATAGTTTTGTTTTTGTTAATGATCACGAGATCAATTTTTATTTGTTTAAAATTTCTATGATCTTAGGGCTGTTGATCACCAATGGGATGGTCCTCTCTTTGCCACAGCTGGTTCTCAGGTCGATATATGGGATCACAACAGGTAATGATTTTACTGGCTTCTATTATTGTTTTCATTTGTCTATAAGCACTCTTGAGTGATGTTCTGGGTGATGCTTCCAAAAGGTCAGAGCCCATAAATACTTTTGAATGGGGTAAAGACACAGTTATTTCTGTGCGATTTAATCCTGGAGAACCTGATGTGATAGCAACATCGGCAAGGTATTTAAACTCTTCCAGTTAGTGTCCTTTTATTATATGTTATGGTTCCTTATCAAAGAGTTCTTTCTAAACTAAATAAAGATGTGCTACAATTTTGTATCAACCGTTGTCCCTTTACTAGATATCAAAATGAATATCTTGATCTGTTGCTTTCCATCTTCATTTTTGCATTGCATGTTTTGGTGTTGGTATCTGAGCCAAGTGTTTGATGATAACACAATTGAAAGTAAAAAACTCCACACACAGAAATCACAAGAAAACTTCAGTATTGTTGAATTTGTGTTGAACCTAGATCTTCCATTGGCCTATGTCCAACTTTGTTTTATCTCACTGTCTGTGAACTGATATGTTTTCTTAGGCACTAAGGATTAATTGGAATCTTGAACTCATCATTGGCCAATCATCTAGAAAACAAGTAGGGATATACGGCTCATAAGATCGATGTATGTATGTGGCTCTGTCTTGCTATCAGTAAGGACATGTTCTATAGTTCTTTTGCTGTTTTTGCTCTTTATGCATATCACTAGGTATATTATTATTATGTCTGACCATTAAGGACTAGGGAAGTTCAGTTGACGTGCTATGTGCCAATCACTTCTATCTGATGGTCTGTTAGATATGAAGGATCATGCTGACTCTAGTAGTTCAAAACAATATATATGACTGTTTTATTTCCTCAGCTTCTACATCTGTTACCCTTGTTAAAAAGGGGATACCTTTTCAGATGGAAAGAATGATCCTTTAGCTAAAACAGTGTTCTAAAGGAACTTGCAGAAAGTTGATTACCTTCTTCCGTAAATAGCCTGATTGGGCCTTCTAGTTTCTTGGTCTTTATAGATAATCAACCAGTTTACTAGGCACCAGCCACCTTTAGTTGACTAGGCCTTCCGTTTAAAAGTCCCTGATCCTATCAATGTTGCCAAGTAGTTAGATTGTCTCTTGGAAAAGTGAGATCAAATTAATTAAGGTTAGGTAACACAAAGTTAATAAGAATAAACCTCCTATGGTACAACTTGCTCTTCGAATATTTGTCTATAAGTTGATTCCACTTGAAATTGATGAAATTGATTCCTATTTAAACTGGATGAAAGGAATTAATATATCTAGGCACTTGGTCCATTCCAAACAGCTAATCAACAGGTTTAGCTCCTATTTTGGATGCATTGAGAAAGGCTTGAAAATGTACGTCTGTTAAACCAATGAATGTTTCTATTTATATAAGCCGCTGAGATTTCTTCAAGTTCCTTCTAAATAATAAATTCTTAGACTTAGGCTGCACATTTGTTTGCTTCTTTCTTTAAGCTGAAAAAGAATTAGAGGGCCCATAATTGTCTTGTAGCATCCAAAATCAGTTAGATCAAGTATCAACACAACAAGCAATAGTGGCCTTCTATTATCTAGGAATTGATGTGTAATATTAATTTATATTCCTTTCTTCTGGATTCATCAAATCTGACCAGATGGTTGTTCTTGGACTATAAGATATTTATCACAGACTAGGACATTTCAAATGCTTAAAATTTTAAGTGAATAGATACCTATAAGATATTTCTTTGTTGCATATTTAACTCTCCCTTTATATGCTTCTGCATTGTTTATTTATTAGATTCTTCTATGTGCGTTGAACCTGTTGAACAATATTTAACGCAAAGAGTTGATTGTGTTAAAATGTCTTTTTTATTATTTTGTAGTGATCGCAGTATAACTTTATATGATTTACGCATGTCATCCCCAGTTAGGAAGCTAATCATGAGGGTAATCTTTCTTCTTCTTTATACTTGCATGCACAATTCTTTTTGTCATTTCTTAGTTTCACCATTTCATGTTGAACTATATTTCATATGTTTATCTCCAATCATATTTAAATGATTTAATCCTGCTGGTTAAAAATTGACATTCTTAATTTATATTCAGAACACCACTAGTGTAACGTTTTCATTCATTGAAAATCTCACTGGTTTGCTGCTACTATTATTTGTTTTATTTTATTGTATCTTCTTGCATGAGGTTGCAGTCTAGTCTTTCAAGTAATCTCTTTTATCAAATAATCAATCACATGCTCACAAGGATGAGAACATAGTTGATTACTTTTTTCATTAGTTACAATTGCCATGCACACAAGGATGAAATCCTTGCCATCAAGCTCACAGATATAGAGTGTGATTGGTGGCCTTATCAAGTTATTTAATAACTATGCAGTAATTTTGTTGTAGTAAAGAAATTACATTACTCCACCTGTTGACCCTTTGATAAACTGCATTTGTTTTTTATATAATCAAAATCCAGAAATCTTATGGTCCATGAACGAGTTGAATAGATCCTTCATTCTGTCATGTGATAATTATCTTGATGCAGAAATTTATTACAAAATAAACACCCATACATATGTTGATGATAAATTGCATGATTCATGTACTTTATATTCTAGATCATTTGTGTGATACCTGCTTGTGGAAATTTATACCATTAATATGATTCCATAATGGTAAAGTTTTAAAAAAGATCCATGTACATTTATGCCTGCTTGTCAGACGTTTTGATATTGATTTTCTTGATACAGACCAAGACTAATGCGATATGCTGGAATCCTATGGAGCCAATGAACTTTACAGCTGTAAGCAATTTAAATTAAGCGTACTCTGTTTTGCACTAGCTAATATTCACCTTCCTATTCACAGCATCTTGTAATTTGTTTATCTCAACACTCTTTTGCTTATTACACCATGTGGTGCTTTTGTTGAGCATAGATTCACCTTCCTATTCATGGAATTTTGTGATCTGTTTATTTCAAGACCCTTTTGTTTATTTCACCATATGGTGCTTTTGTTAAGGAGTGCAAAGTTTCAGGACTATCATATGGGCTCTCAAGGTGGATGATATAGTATTAAATTAATGGTATTAAGTATAAGTCATAAGGTCCTGAACGTGGATCTCAGGATCAGTTAATCCCCATTTGGCTGATCCAAGCTGCAGTTGGGATGATATGAGAACTCAAAAGTTTCACAAATCGGTTGGACATGGTTAATTTGTGATTCTGGCAAATTCTTATTGGTGCTAGTTGATTTTACCAGATTTAAATCAATTTTAGATAATTCCACCAGATTCAATAAATTTTATTCATTTTTTATAAAATATATTTTGTTTTTGACCTTCTAGTTAGTAACACACCTAGTTAGTCCCACATCTGATGTGCGAGGAGAATTAAATTTGAGCTTAATCATTTTGAGGCAATGGTTCGAGTCAATCATTCTATCAAGTCAGAGTAGATTGTGGCAAATGATGGCAGATGGGAGTTAAGTGTCTGTTGTCGTGAGAGGCCCAAGTAGGCATATCACCTCATGGAGCCACCACTAGGTTTGGTCTCACTTACATCATACTAAAGTTTAATTTTAGGTTTCTTTGAGCCTTGATAAGAATATCAAGTCATAAATGAGGGTAATTGTTAGTATATATTTTATCCCCACATTTGTTTTGTGAAGATAATCAAACTAATTTATAGAGCTATTTGAATCTGGTAGTACTAACTTAAGTTTAAGCATTTTGATATCATTCAGTCAGTTCATGACACTAAATTTCAGACTATTCAAGCTAATTCTAGGTTCTCAGTTGATTTGATAAATCTAATATGATGATCTCATGTAGTCTTGTAGATATATTCCAATTTCACGACCAATTCTCATCCTCGAGAGCCTAGTTCTGTATAGTTTCAGCTAATAATTGCAGATGTTATTGTACAACTTTACATGCATTAGTAAAAACAAATTAATTGCAAATATCAAGATAGGAGATGCTTAAATTTCCAATAAAATAGATATTTGCTGTTGCAGGCAAATGAAGACTGTAGCTGCTACAGTTATGACACTAGGAAATTGGATGAAGCAAAGGTGGTGCATAAAGATCATGTTTCTGCAGTGTGCGTGACATAGCTAAAATAATATCTTTATCTCAATATATTTTATAGAAAAATGTATTTCTATGTTTAACTTACATTCGTACTTGTTTTGGCAATGCTGGGTACAGGATGGATATTGACTACTCTCCGACAGGCCGTGAGTTTGTGACTGGTTCTTATGATAGAACAGTGGGTTAAACCTTTTTAATTTTGTTTTTCGACTATTATATTATGCTGTCACAGAAGTATACTGTGGTTGCAGCAGAAGATCTCAATTGACACCTTACAAAATTTTGGTTGCAGGTGAGGATCTTCCCATACAATGGGGACCATAGTAGGGAGATTTATCATACTAAACGGATGCAAAGGTTTTTGAAGCCTTGATTTCTTTTGCCCTGAGCTTCTTTTTCTTGTTTTCCTTATCAAAATATATTAATAGTTTTTACCTACATGATGATAAATTAGTTTCTTGTACATCAGAAATTGAATTTATTTTTTAGAATTCTATCTTTTTTTATGTATCCGTACATAATTACTTCCATTATTATCATGATTGTTCTGTTTTATTTTAGTTAATGTGTCTTTTGTAATGCTTTATCTTGCCATCAATATTTTTGTTTTCTAGGTAGTGAGTTGTTGCATCTTCTATGTAGGGTATTCTGTGTGAGGTACAGCTGTGATGGTTCTTATCTAATTTCTGGAAGTGATGATACCAATCTCCGGCTGTGGAAAGCGAAATCTTCAGAACAGATGGGAGTAGTAAGTATACAATCGATGTTTATTTGGACCATTTTGTTTGATGCATGGACAGCCATGGTTGTCTTTGTAGTTTATTATATATTTTTTCTAGGAATACTGCTTAGCCCGTGATCTAAGATTTTGAATAGTCATTAGATTTGTCAAGCTCTCTGCTTGGATAGGTCAGATTTGTGTTCCTGTTCCACTATTCAATTTTGGACTTTGATGTTAAGTTCGTGGATTCTTTGTATGAGTCACTTTGCTTTTCTTCAATATGAAATCTCTCACCTTTATCATCACTTTGATGAGCATGGATATGGTAGCCTTATCCTTTTTTAATGAAATCAAACAATGATGTACTTGTGTTTTATAATTATACTCAGAAATCACACTTGATGTATATTAACATTACACCTCATAGCTTTTGGCAGATGCAGCAACAAGTGAACTAGAAAAAGCATTTTAGTTGAGTCATAATGTTATGACTGGGGTTGGTCATAATGGAAAAAAAATCAACAATTGCTTAGAGAATGTGACACATTTTGTTTAATTGATTTGGTTTTCCTTCTGGTCCTTGTACCAACTATGAGTTTCTTGACATATGAATGAATAAGCACATGAACTGTTGACTATTCTTTTTATTAGATAACATGTGTAATAATTTTGGTCCATTTGGTTCGACATTCCTGAACTCGTTTTTTCTTTTCTGGTCAAGTGGCTTTGCTTTTCATTGTAATGTAAGTGGATTGGTTCTGTTCTTTTGCATTACATGGTATAATGATTCCTTCACATCTCCGGTACAGCTTCTACCTAGGGAACGTAAAAAGCAAGAATATCTAGATGCTGTCAAAGAACGGTACAAGCATCTTCCAGAGGTGAAGCGCATAGTCAGGTAAACTCTCTATTCCATGTTTAGTTCAAATAGAATATTTGACAGTGGATATTAAATGGAGTACATGTGGAGGAAGGGGAAAAAGCTGTAAGACTTGATTTACATCATTCCCGATGACAGCCCTAAATATATGTTTAGTGCAAGTGTTAATGGTACCATAGACTGGTTAATGGGCAAACTGCATAAAAACCTAAAGTCAACTGGAAATCTTGTACCTTTTGCCCCCAGCTACTTGTTGTCTTCATCTACCCCAGTGATGTGGTTGTACTGCTTCACGACAATGAATTATTTTTGCAGGCACAGACACTTGCCAAAACCAATCTACAAGGCGGCTGCATTGAGACGTACAATGATTGAAGCCGAGAACAAGAGAGACCAGAAGAGGAGAGCTCATAGTGCTCCTGGAAGCATGCCCGTACAACCCTTCAGAAAGAGAAGAATCATCAAAGAAGACGAATGACGTGATGAGGGCAAAGGAAAGAAGACTTCTCTTTAAGCTTCATGAAGTCAATTGGTTTGATTCTTTATACACTGACCCAGCCCCAGGATCATGCCCTCCGAGCATTTCCATGAAGGTTGTTCATCTGATGATCCTATCACTGCCACTCGGAGCTCGTCATTCTATTTAATGATATCGCGAGAAATGCTTTGGCTTGTTGTGCCATGTTTTGAAGTAGGGTTTGTGAAGACAATTCAGTGTGTTGGATTCCACATTTTGTTTGAAACTCAAATTACAGTTTACTCCGCACAGCGGCATCTATTTGCCATTTTTACTTGAAAAACTCGCCAAGTGACTTTGATTACTGGTTTGGAATCTTTTTCTTTTTATTTTAATGCTACAAGTGGTGAAGATGGAATTTTCTTGTCAACGCTTAATATCCTTATCGTCTTTGCTCTAGTAGTGTTTTGTTTTGTGTATGCTCTAATCGTGATTTGTGTACCTATAGGACACATTGCACATCATTGTCGTTCATCGTTGTCTATTCACATCATCTATTTGGTATCCTTTACCCTGCTTTCTTTTTCTACCTTTTCTTTTCTTCCATTTTTTTTTCCTTTTTTTTCTTTCTATATCGGCTCTTCTGGCTTTGTCTATTTCTCTTCTTTTTCTTTGCCTATTTATTAGGGTTTTTTTTTTCTCCTTCCTTTTATCATCTTCTCCTATTATTTCTCTTCCTCCAATATTCTAATTTTTTATCTTCCTCCTGCATTATACCTTCCTCTCTTTTCTTTCATGAACGAAACAGAGCATTCTTTTATTTTTTCTTTCTTAACCTATCTGGTATGCATTTTCTATTCTTTCTTTTTCTTCTCCCTCATCTTTTATCATCTCCTTTTATTTCTCTTCCTCCATTATGCCTTCATCTTTCTTTCATTTGATGAACGATCAATACATACGCAAATAAATAGTCAATTAAGGACTGCTACAACAGACGTTGCTGCAAATAGTCAAGATTTTTAGTGTTGACTTTGGCTTAGGTTGTGCTGAGTAGCTGAAGTAGCACATTTTAGTTGCTAACATCAAACTCTCAATAAAGCAAACTCCACCGAATGCACATTTTAAGAACCTCTTGAAGTGTGATGGGTGCTAACATCAACATGCATTTTAAGAACTTTTGCAAGGGTCGAGCATCCTGAGACGGCCATAATGTCTTAATGATAATAATTGAATCGTGTTACAGAATACTTTGGAAGAATTGTGGTGAGTGCTCAACACTCATCAGGAAATGGAATATTTGCTTTACCATTTTCGAATGAACCAAAGTTTTTCAAACAGAAGAAAGAATTAGTAAATCAGTGGGATAAATACTTCAAAAAGTCGATGAATTTTTTGTTTTTATAACAGGAACTACTAGATTTTGAGTAAATGATTATCTTCATTACATCAATACTTCCATCAAAGATGGGAAAGGCAGTCCAAACCCCTTAAGTTGTCATCGGCGTCTTTTTCTGTCGTCTTCATCTTCGTCATCAGAGTCGCCACTCTCCCTAAACCGAGGGTTCTTTTCCTGTAGAAAAATACAGACAGAAGATGTGTTACTCAAATTGCAAAGAAAAATGTTTCATTATAAATAGATAAAAGAAAAGCAATGCTTGAGTAGTAGCGAGTACCGGTCTCAAGTCATGTTCGGGGTTCCTCCTTGATTCATAACCTGATGTTCTTCTTGACATTTCAGATGCAGATTGCTCATCTTCCCGATACCGTTTTCGATAATCTGTTTAAGTTAAATGGACATCAAACATGAACTTTTATTTTTCATAAGAACAAAACATAAAATATTCCATGATTCATAGGGTACATGTTGATAAGTCCACACAACAACAACAACAACATCGTAAATCTCAATTATTTGGGATCGATTACATGTATCTTTTGCTGTCATTGAGATCTGTAAAAGGTCATATGTTTAGTTATCTTCAGAGTACTTAAATCTTTATTTATAGTTTATATTAAAAATTTCAAGTTTTCCTCAAACCTCTCATCGTACCATTAACAGTAATTATTTCACCTCTTCTAATTATCATATTTGGAGGTCTCCTAAGCACATGCTCATACCAGTGATTTTCTCTCATCTTATATTTTATCGAAGCGATACTTAGTTGTTTACGAATAAAAGTAATTCTTTTCCTATCTTCATATATCATAAAGCAAAACATAAAAAATACCAACTGTCACCTACTTACTCATGACTAAGCCGTAAGGGAAAACAAATATCACAAACGATCAATCTATAAGCACGTACCTCTACCATGTCTATGTGAATCGCCATAAACTCCATGCTTACCATCTGTAAGTAAATTGTACAAGTTAGTATCGTGTTAGTATCACAGAGCAAGGTGATTGAAGCAAACATTAATTAGTCTCAGATACACAAGTACAAACCACTACTTAACATTGTAACTCATTAAACATACTGATATAGCCAGTCAAACAAAGTCATACCCTTCTTTGATCAGCAAGCAACCCTAACAAACCTGGTGGCAGTTTAATGACAATGATGGGAAATCAAAAGCACTCTACATTATTGGAGTTTTCTAACATATGTACTCATGTTCAGTTAATCCTTTGTGAACAAGGAATGCCAGAGTTGAGTTGCATTAACTGGGAACTCAGAAAATGCTAGTAAAAGCTACAAACCTAATCCTTCATGCTCAGGCTTGGTAAATGTATCATAGTAGAATCTAAGCTATTTCTTATTTCCCCATCCACCTAACTTTATGATCTCCAGATGTCAAATGGGATGGATATCATATTAATGGTCGCTAGAACTCTTCCATGTCTCTTAACACCATACAGTAACTGGCCCTCTCATGTTAGCTTCAACTTGATGTTTTTTTTTTTGTCTTTTATCTTCAACCAATATCAACGAATTAGTTTGTTCTTGGCTGTTACAACCCGGAATCCTGAAAATCATGAGCTTGACAATATGTGCTGATGATTAAAATGGCTGGCGAATACAGCCAAAAGAATTTTTTTTTCAAAATCTTGAACATGACAATCCTAATCTTTTAAATCTTAAAAATCCTTGTTTGAATAAATAAAGAAACCATTAGACAATTGTTTTCAACAGCATTCAAAACATGATATATTTTTTATGAACAATAAACCACAGCTATACATGCCAGCAACTGCAGAAAGGTGTTTGGACAAGAAAAGAATTATACAGGTATATGGCACAGGAAGAGGGCATCAGGAACAGAAAAGCGAGTCCCACACAGAAATTTTCATAATAAAATCCCACTGAAAAACACAAACAGTCAACAGTTGATACTGAACGTCCAAAACTTACATTGTGTCGGTGGTTGAAAAGCACCCAGTGCTCCTGCACCATAATCTACCAATTCTCTCTGTGCTTCCAGCTCTCTCTGGACCAGTTTTCCATAGCCACCTCGACGTAACCATTGTTAAGGACATAAAGGTGATAGATGAAGCACAAAAAAAGTATTCATTGTAATAAAAACCACACCTTACCTGATTCTAATGTAATAACTTAATGTTCCAATGGCATTTCAAAAGTAATTAAAATGTGAAGCACACCATCTAGATGATAAGTTCCAAACTAGCTTACAGAAAAACAAGATCATCCAACCGTTGTCGTTGGCTATCAGATATAAAAGTTGAAATTGTGGAGTATGTCGAACAGGGAGGGTCCTCAAAAACAGGGGATCAGCACCGGTGGTTTCAAGAGGCGCTCGGGTGCTCGGGTGAGGCGAGGCGAGGCCCGAGCACCTTGCATAAACCCCAGGTGCAATGCTTCAATGAAGCGCTACTCGGGCGCTTGCCTGAGCCTAGGCACTAGGCGCCTTGGGCGAGCGCCCGAGCCAACTTTGGAACTTGGGTTCAATTGTTGGTTCGATTGGACTCATAAGTTGGTTCAATCGAACCACCTAACATAATCCAACCCCCTCCCTCGCCCGACACAGTAAAAGAAAAGAAACCCTACATCTATCGCCTTTATTCGCTCTGCCAGCCGCTGTCGGCAACCTTGTCCAATCTCGTTCGCCGTTGCAACTCAGCTGCCATCGCCGCCGCTCGTCCGTCGTTGGAGCTCGTCCGCCACTACAGCTCGTCTAAACCCTAAACCTCTTCCACAACTATAACTCTGTCTACTGCTGTAGTACCTCTGTCCACCGCCGATGACAACCTCTTCCATTGCCTTCGTTCGCCGCCTTCGCACACTCCGTTCGACGCTGCAGCTTCGTCCGTCGTCGTCGACAACATCGTCTGCTGCCTTCGTCCACCACTGCAGCTTCATCCGTTTGTAGTTGTAGTTTCGTTTGCCGCCCTTTGCTCCCCCCGCCTTCTTGTTAATTAACTGGTTGGCTCTTGTCCAACTTTGGTTAAGAAAATCCCTAGTTAACAAAACATTCCTGGTATACATGGAACTCCCTTAGGTGGATAGCAAGCTTTTGGAGCCGTATACATGATAACTTGATGATGTCTTAGAGCAACAAAACATTCCTGGTTAACAAGATGCTTTTGGAGCCATTTAATTCTAACATAGGTCTTCATAAACATGTTTGGCATATTTTTACTTAGTTGTGTATTATTTTAATTATAATATTCGGGAGCACCTCGCTTTGCTCGGGCGAGCGCCTAACGCCTCGGGCGTTTTGGGACCTTGACGCATTTTAAATCATTGATCAGCACAACCAACTCAAACATCACCAATAAACACCTTAGTTCACATGCTGGATAGCAAGCTTAGGATCTACTATTGCAGCAAGTAACAATTTGTCTCCTGGACTTTGAGTACTTGTCATTTCTAGAAGTTACAAGGTAACTAAATTTTTTAACGCTTTTACTCCCGGTGGTTATATTTTTTCCACAAGTTAAACCAAACCTAAATGCTCTTTGTTTTTCTCAAGTCAGTTCTCATCAACAGGAAAATAAGAACTTGATTAATATTATCCATTATTGCTAGTCTTTTTACTTGCTTGCAACTTTTGATCTACCTATTAAATAACTAGTTTTTTTTTTTTTGACCAATACTGATATACTACCTTTTACTTTGTCAGAAGATTCAAGTGTTGAGATGCTTCAGCAAAAGAGAGACCACTAAATGTTACATGTCAATTATCTTTTCTCCTGCTGAAGAGTGACCTTTCTGAATTTTCTCATGATCATTGTAACCAATACTCAAAGAAAGGACCAATAGATCTAAAAACAAGTCTTGTATGCTTGCTGAATTACCTTGAGAATATTGTACAACTTGCAGAATTACTAAAGCTTTGAGAAGGGTTAAATTGCATATTTAGATTGAATTGAAGAAAAAGGTAACATAATAATTACTTGATTATGGGAGGTCATTTGTTTGTAGCAGATTAGAATCATCCTCAAATCTATTTTCAAATTGATTCAAGAAGTGTCAAAACAGGAAATTAGGGTTATAGAGAGGATTTTCCTACTTGGAATGTGAAGGTTCAGAAGCAAATTGGCTCAGACAATTCTACAGATTAAACATAAAATAAAGACTTAGGATCTCACTATATGATTTTCACACTTGACAACATGCAATCAATAATCCAGATCCAAAACTGACTGAAGAATAAGACCTTAAAAATAATTAAAAAGCATATTCTTGTCAAAGATATAACATCTAATTCTACTTAAAGGATATCAGGATCATAATCAGTGCGATATTCATCTCTCACCTATAAAAAAGAAACAAAACATTGCATTAGGTCAGTCGTATTCAACTTGTAGAAGAATGAATATTTCTAAAAGGATCAGAAATAGAGAATAACTTGTCCACCACTTCGCCCACGACCCCACTGCCTGCCTTCTTCGAATCCCCAATCAAAATCTACACGTATTGGCCGGTCATCAAGCATTGTGCCACTTATATATTTCACAGCATCCTCAGTATCCTCCCTAGAATAGTACCTAAGGAAGAACTCTTATTGTTACAGACTGTAGCTATTAGACAGAATAGAAATGTTTGTTAAATGCCATTGTGTTTCCCTAGCAAAGGAAACAAATATAAAGCATCAAAATCATAGAACTAATCATGAACAAATAAAAAAAATATCCTAATTCAAGAAGCTTATAATAAGCTTACACTTCTTTGTGTTCACACATTGGCAAATAACTTCGACAATAACTGCAGAAGCCCAAGAACAAACATGCACAATAAGGAAAAAAGAAAGCCAAGAAATTCCTGTAGATGACAATAACAATATGGAGCGTATCTTATAGATATATCTTCTGGTAGTGCTAAGATAATTTAGAAATAAAATACTTTCAGACAGTAGTTCTTGTCATTCAGGGACCTTAACCAATGTGTTTAAGATAGAAAATGAGTGATCTTGCTTTTTCTGTGCAAAATGTTTGTAAAGCTAAAAAAAATAGAATTACATCAATTCGTTACTGTAATGCATCTAATTCATATCTAACTTTGTTTTAAACATATTCAATTACAGAAAAGTAATTGTTTCATATCCATATCTAGATTCATATCTATTGATTAAAACTGGACAATAATATCATTATTTTAATATACATCTCATTTTCTTTTTTACATTAAGCACCTTATTTAACTAAGAACTGACTTTTCTCTTTCTAATATTTTCATCTGTTAGCAGATTGAACAAGCAAAAAAAATTTTAGTGGCAATTTCTACATGAACAAAGCCAATCCATCAAATAGCTTGAAGTAATTTTTATGATAGACCAATCTATGATGAACCGGTTTGACTCTTCCAACTTTACACTAATGGTATGCTGGAAATAGATAGTGTGGTTTAGACATGTCCATGCAAAACCACAGTTGCACACAATTCACCAATAAGGAGGTAACGAACCCAAATCATAGAGGCAAATGAAAAAAACAAGAAAGGGACAGAGAAACAGTAGAATATACAGTGGCTCCTGATCTGACATGGAGCTTGATGGGTCTCAATTTACAGAAAGGGAACTCATGTAGAACAACAAAGATGCTTTCAACTTAAACGCCTGTTAGCAATTGGTAGGTTCGATTTTCAAAGGGGGCCAAATAAAATTTTTCCAGAGGGGCCAAATAAAAGGAAAATTTCGGCAAAGTCACTTGAACATCCAATGGCTACTAGCCAATAACGTAAAACTAAACAAACGTTGAACAGTTCAAAGACAAAATAAATTAAACTAGGAAGGGTTTCCAAATAGTGCAGATCCAAATATCAATAATGTGGCTGGCTATACCATGACAAATTTATCACTAATATCCATAAAGATTATGGGTTTCCATCGTCTAATCACAATGTTAGTTTTATGCCAATAGCAGTGACCTTACCATCTGGCTACTTGGTCGCCAAAATACCTGATACTAGAACATTTATCAACTCCGGTAAAAACAGGTTCAGCATTTGCGAAAACATCAAATGCTAAATTAGCGACGAAAAGTCGCCATCTCGGGAGAAAAACCTCCATGGAGCAACAACCTAGGGTCTAATCCTATGCTTAAAAGTCAATCCTTGGGACGCTTCGAACATAAATGAGAGGAAACATCTTACAAGACGAAGCAGAAACCGCAGGGGGTCTTGGTGTTCTTTTCCAGCCCCATGATAATCTTCTTGATCTCTCCCGCCCGGGTGAAGAGCTCGTACACCTGCTCCTCGGTGGTGTAGAAGGACATGTTGCCGATGTAAACCGTCGTGGAAGCCTGCAGCACGCGCTCGTACTCCTCCTGGTTGCCCCGGAACCTCTTGTCCCTGTACACCGACAGCTTGGCTGGGTCCTGCAGACGAGCAAAATGGGGTGCAGGTCAATCAAGCAGCTCCGAATAAAAAAAAAGGAAAAAGGTAGCTACACGAATCACAGCAGAACTCCAAATCCAGCGACCTTGAACAACGAGGCCATCTTCGGCCTAGGGTTACAGGAGCAACAGAACAAGATTAGGGTTCCGCCCGCAGTTGCGATCGAAGGAGAGGACAAGAGGTTACGGAGCGAGGGATGGAGTCTAGGGTTTGGTTTTAGAAAGGGGCGATCAACTCTCGAAGTGAACGATGGCGTTTAATTGTTATTAATATATTGCACATGAAATATATACACAAAGTAAATATGGACCAATTTATTTAGGAAGAAAGGTTTCGAGACAAAAACATTACGATGAAATAAAATATTATAATCTTTTATCAGTTAAACTAACTTATATTTTTAATAATTAATTTTTATATCAAATTTAAGAATTTATACGGCAACATCTCGATCTCCTCAAATACTCAAAATAAATTCACCGAATGATAAATCGACATGAATCGAATCGGTTCATCTTCTATCAAATTATATATATATATTTTTAAAATAAATAGAATGAAATATTTATATCATTTTATTTTTAACATCTGAGGTGAGTTGGACGAAATTTTATGGTTTTACATTATGAAAATAATTTTTTTTTACACTCAATTACATAATCAAGATAAAATTGTCATATTAGACAATAAAAACCCTTAATATCAATATATATATATATATATATATATATATATATATATATATATATAAATAAAGTAACTACTCATATTATTATTTTTTTATAGTTACAGACAAATTAATTTGTGTTGGGGTTGGGTTTAAAGGGGAATTGAAATTAGTGGGATTTAAATGGATAAATTATTAAGTTTAATGATGTTATTAAAGACTTGGAATATAGAGCTATTTTTTCAGCATGAACTGTAATAGTGATATAAAGTGGCTCATAAATTTGTTGATCCAATTAATGATTTGTAAAAAAAAAATAATTATATAAAATCAATATGATTAAAAAATAATGTTAATTAATTAATTAAAATATTTAAGTACCTTAATTAAAAAGAATATCTAAGAAAAATATAGTTTTGATCGAATTTCTAATTTATTATCGACATATGATAATATAGACATAATTTATCATAATTAAGAGTAGATCTTAATAATTTTTTTAAATTATGAAATTATATTGAGAATGAGAGTGAACTTGTGATTAATAAAATAGTTGATTGTGAGGAATACATAAGACCAAAATGAATGTCCTAAGAAAGAAGAGTGAGATCAATTTGCACAATACAACAATTCTTTCAATCATTGATAATAATTTAGAATTTTAAATTATTATCAAAATAAAAGGAAATAATGAATGATTGAAAGAATTTTTTAACTATTATTTTGAGCTTAGGAAAAATTACAAAAACTTCATAATTTTCTTTTATTAGAAATAAACTCATGTGCTTTATCAAATGATCAACAGAGGAGAAAATAATTGAATCTATCATGTGATGGTAAAAAATACAATATCATAATGTAAAGGTTAAAGATAAGAACAGTTGGTGAAAGACGAAATCATAAATGGGAAGGACAACATGAACAATAGAGGAGGGCAAGTGACGGTATAGAGCCTCATTGGGTGCTAACGGGTTGGATCAAGTCCTAAATATCTAGATCCAATTAGTTCGATATCCAAATCCCACTGAAGTATTTATATTTATCTGATCTAAGCGGGTTGGACAGGTTTGGATATCTGAAAAGATCCGACCCGTTGGAATCAAGCAGGTCATTTGGGCCGGGCGTAAATTGGGTACGGTGCTTCTGGAATCTTCCACAGCCTTCCGGTGCTGGATCTGTTCGCGACGCTTCGACCGGGCCACGCCATCCGTTCCCATTTCCATCAATTCCGCACACCGAGGATTGCAGCCACGAGGGAGAAGGAAGCAGCGAGGAGTGCCAAAGTGGAAGATTCAGGAGGGAGGAAGAGGAGAAGCACGCACGCTCCTCACCCCGATCATCATCAGAGCAAGAGGAGAAGGCAGGGAGGCGACGGGGAGGAGATGGGGGTGGACTACTACAGGGTCCTGGGCGTGGACAAGAGCGCCAAGGACGACGACCTCAAGAAGGCCTACCGCAAGCTCGCCATGAAATGGCACCCCGACAAGAACCCCAACAACAAGAAGGAAGCGGAGGCCAAGTTCAAGCAGATCTCCGAGGCCTATGAGGTACGATCTCCTCTACCCCCTCTGTCGATTCCATCTCTAATTCAAAGAAATAATCTTGTTGATCCGTCGATCTATTATCTGTAGGTCCTGAGCGATTCCCAGAAGCGCGTCATCTATGACCAGTACGGCGAGGAGGGGCTTAAGGGGCAGGTCCCGCCGCCGGGCGCCGGTGGATTTGGCAGCGGCAGCGACGGGCCAACGTCGTTCAGGTTCAACCCCAGGAGCGCCGATGACATATTCGCGGAGTTCTTCGGGTTCTCCAGCCCGTTCGGTGGCATGGGCGGCATGAGCGGCATGAGCGGCATGGGCGGCATGGGCACGAGGGGCGGATCGAGGTTCCCTGGCGGGATGGGCGGGATGGGCGGGATGTTCGGGGATGACATCTTCGGGTCGGCCTTTGGCGCCGGGGAGGGCGCGTCGATGAATTATCAGCAGCCTCGGAAGGCAGCACCAATTGAGAACCGGTTGCCGTGCAGCCTCGAAGACTTGTATAAAGGGACCACCAAAAAGATGAAGATTTCGAGAGAGATTGTTGATGCCAGTGGGTGAGTTTTTCCTCCTGTGTATCGAAGAAATCCTAAAGCAGTGGCCTTTTAAATGTCCGTCACGCTTTCGTGTTTGATCTATCACTACATGCTTGTTTGGAATATACCTAAGATCAAACCAGGTTAACTTAATAGCTTTTGGTCCTTCATCCCATTTCTATAGCTAGATTGCTGCAGAAGTTGATAATTGCAGCTTATGCTTACGCACTAAATTGATTTATCGGTAAACAGTGATGAGGATGTAGTTTGTCTTGGTACAACAAATATTTGAAGAGTTACTTTTCTCCCATTCTCATGATTGAAGTTTTTTAGTGCATTCATTAGTTTTAATAACTAGGCTTATGTCTGTAATTTGGTGTCATGTTGGTGTTAATTGTTGCGGCTGTCAAATTCATTGATGAATGGAGCTTGCTACTTCTATGACTCTCTTATAGATGTGCGGTCACATGTCCTTCATCTCTTAGTGTGATTGAATTTATCTGATATTTTTTCTATTTGTGACTCCTCTTTGCTTGATGCACATTAATTCCCTCTACTCTGAAAACTTGTTGGCATGATAGAAATGAATGATGCAGTTTTGTTCATGGATCTCATGTTTGCATGTCTCTATTGTCTACAAGTAAATATCTTTATTGCTATCCATGGTTCTTTTAAATCATCAGTTTTGATTGATTACAGTGAACTTCTAGGATAAGTAACAAGCGACATCTTACTCAGTGATACCTTGTGTTAGATATCAGTCATTGTTATATTCATTTGTTAATTCCAATATTTATCCTTCTTGTTTCATTATATCGGAAAAGTTTGATAGTCTTATTTTTCTGGAGAGGAAAAAAAGAATTCACAATTGAAGCAAATTTGTGTGGCCGTGGAGGTCGGGATTGAACATGGACACATGTCCAAGTGTCCGATTGAGTGAGGGTAGAACTGTAGTACAGTTTACAACATTAATCAATATTCAATATTCAGAGATTAGAAAAAAGGAGTTATTTCTTGACCACCATGTTCAAAATGGTTGTGTTCTAACTTTTAAGACGTGTGACTATTTATCTAAAGAATCATGTTAAAGTAGTATGGCAAAGTTGATAACACATTATGCCTTAGGATGGAAGACAAGGTAGTCCACTGTATATCTATTTTCCGAAGGGAACTGCAAAGCATGAATTAGATTGTCTATTATAAGTTTTATTCTTTGTGTTCTATCTTTTATGGCTGCCATTTAAGAACTCCAGTTAGATGATTATTATAGTGTTTTCCCTAATGTGCCTCTTATGTTGACTTTCTGATGCAATAGACTACATTTTTCCATTAAATTTTTTGGTATTTGCATTTACAAATATTCTACACATTACTTTACTTTATATGATGAGTAGTGACAGTTGGGATGACTCTCTTTTCTTTGAAGAAGGCCTGTATCTGTTTAGGTTGGCCTTATTTCTTTAAGTGTAGCTGGTTGCTTCTACTTGTATTTTCAAATAGAATGAAATAGTGTGGTTTATTTAAATGAGATGAATCCGTGTTAGCTCAGACCAGTGAAGTGGTTTTGTTGTAGCTCTCTATCTTTCTCTTGACCCCACTTCCCTTCCCTTTATGCTGAAGAACTGCATAGTTGCTGCCTGCTCTTTCAAGTTGTACTTGGGAAGTTTTGAACATTAGAGGTGTGGCCTGTCTTCCATTTGTAATTTTGCATTGTTGACATCTGTATGATGCTCTTATGGGGCTTCCCATGTCATGGTTCACCTTTTTGTCTTCCATATCATTTGTACTGTTAAGATTCAGATCCTTTGTGGTTCTCCCTATTATTTATCTTTTAAACAAATAATTACCATTCCTAATAGTTTGTTCTGGATATAAAATTTTCTATCTGCTCGCAATATTCTATCTTCTCTCTTTTAGTGACACAAGTTTGTAGCAGCTGCCCTCTGTACTAACAACATGAATTTAAGACATCTAATTGTGATTTTTTATCACATCAATCATCACTTGGCATAATTTGAATATAATGGAAACAAGTTAACATTAACACTGATACATGGTGAAGGTACCTGGATGTAGAAGATTTGCAATAATTTTAAATTTCATTAAAAAATTAAAGAAAAAAAGCAAAAATAATGATCGAGATGCTGTATTCATACTGAGTGTAGTGTCCAATCTTCTCTTTGATTGTTAACATGGGATTTGAGGCACGCTAAAGTACTGACTGTGGATATCTGGGAAGATATGTCTTACTGTTTTATTGTATAATTTGAGGCTTGGGTGACTGGTTTGAGTTCCAGTTGCATGATCCGTTGGAGACGAAGTTGCTCTTGGGGAATGATCTAGCAGGAATTGGATTAGCATGTAGATAGAGAGTTTTACATAGAAGTGTTCTTTCTACATATTCTTTATGTTCTTTGATATTACTTGGTGCAAGATACTTTTGTAGTTTAGGCTGCAGTATGATAAAACTGCAAATAAACAACATTTTGTCAGGAATTTCTCACATGTGTTTGCTGTTGATCTCTTTCAGATGGTGCCTTATACATCTTTATCATTTGATTAAGATTTCATGTTTGATTTGAAGTTGCTCTTGGGGAATGATCTAGCAGGAATTGGATTAGCAAGTAGATAGAGAGTTTTTCATAGAAGTGTTCTTTCTACATATTCTTTATGTTCTTTGATATTACTTGGTGCAAGATACTTTTGTAGTTTAGGCTGCGGTATGATAAAACTGCAAATAAACAACATTTTGTGCAGAATTTCTCACATGTGTTTGCTGTTCATCTCTTTCAGATGGTGCCTTGTACATCTTTACCACATGATTAAGATTTCATGTTTGTTTTGAACTTGATCTTTAATTATAAAGTTTATACAATACAAGAATGATAGATGCAAGTCATTAGGAGGAAAAGAGGTTTCTGGTTATATTTGACATGAGGCACTAGTATGTAAGAACTAATGCACTAAAACTTGAACTGCTCGTGTAAGATATAGAGCTGTAACTGCACTGCTTTATCTAGTCTTGGGATCTCATATGAGGCTTTATTTTGTTTTTAAATGTAAATAAGTGTGTAAAATTAGAGACTAGCAAATGCATTTTGAGTTGGTCTTAGGAGCAGAAAAGGTTTCTGGTTATACTAGGCACAAGGTTCTCGCATGCAAGAATTGTAATTAATGTCCAAGTATTTGAATTACACCGCGATCTACATGAAATGTAGAGCTGTTGCTGCAATGCTTATCCTAAACTTATTTTTCAGTTGGGAGTATTTGCTTCTCTTATCAATTACATTTGCATCTCTTGTTGCCTTTTCTAATGTGCTGAATCTACTATTTGACAGAAAATTGATGCTTTGACTTATCATTAACTACTACAGTTGCCACTACTGAAGGCACATGTTCTGTAGGCAGAGTTTATTTTAGATTATTACTTGGTGTAACACTAAACCTACTCAGCCTATGTTCCTTCATTAGGCAACCTAGATCAACATTCCAGTGATTCTACTGGTACAGAGTTTGATATGTTAAAGTGTTAAATATGTTTAATCTCATGGGATCCTTTTGTTAATTGTTTTTGTTGCTGTCTTACTTTACTGATGTGTCCCAGGAAAATAATGACAGTGGAAGAAATTCTGACAATCGATATAAAGCCAGGTTGGAAGAAGGGAACCAAAATCACTTTCCCAGAAAAAGGAAATGAATCTCCCAATGTTATTCCTGCAGACATTGTCTTCATTATTGATGAGAAGCCGCATGATGTTTTCACAAGGGAAGGAAATGATCTGATCGTGACACAGAAGATCTCTTTGGTTGAGGCCCTGACTGGTTATACTGTTCACTTGACTACGCTCGACAGTCGCAGCCTCACTATACCCATAAACTCCGTTATTCATCCTGGCTACGAGGAGGTGGTCTCTCGAGAGGGAATGCCGATACCAAAAGATCCCTCTAGGAAGGGAAATCTTCGTATCAAGTTCGACATTAGGTTTCCGTCGAGGTTGACATCCGAGCAGAAGGTTGGGATCAAACGACTCTTGGCTCCATGACACACGAGATGCAGGGTTGTTGCTTGAAGGCTAGTGCTGTGTCCGTCTTTCTAGGGTGAGCTTAAATGCATGATATGCTTTGGCACGATCTGTTTGTAACTTTAGTCAAAAGTTTTCAATAAGCTTCTTTTCAATATGTTTCGAGAATTTAGCTGCTATATCTTCTCTCAATTACTGTTTAAGAGTGAACTTCACCATAATTTGTGCTTCTTTGTCATCATTTTTCACCAAACAATGTGTGCCAGCAGTGAGAATTGAGGTGTTTGATTTATATATTAGATCATTAATGAAACAGGGAGGACATTTCAGATTCTTGAAATGTACTCTCGGATGTGTAATGTCTTTAATAGTTTATACGTCGTTCAAGAAAATTGAGTTAGCTAAAACATGAGCAGATATTTTATTTGATCAGTGTTTGTACATCATGATGTGCTCTTGTCATATCGGTTTGATTCAAATATTTTGTATTGTTCATCAACTATGATCGATGCCCGAATCAAAAGGCTGAATTCAGTGTACCAAGATCACACGATATCTTATGCATGGGATTGGTCATCGAGCCAGAACCAAACCAGACCACCTGTGTTCGAGCAGCCACCGGCGAGATCGTGCCTTGCGTCGCTGCTAAGGTCTTGTGGCTGCAAGGCTTGCCACGTAGAAGGGAAAGGTCCGGTGTCGTCCGCTCGCGACTGAAACGGCTCCTCGGGATCATCTCCAAGTCGTACCCGACAGCCGGGCCGCGAGACGGTTCGGCACAGGAACCGTACGAATTGGAGCGGATCCGAATCCAGTCGCTTCTCTTCGGCGATAAGAAGGAAGAAAGAAGTTCGAAATCCGTCGTCAAATGGCTGGCGTCGTCGCTTTCTCTGCCCGTCCTCCGTCATGCACTTCCCACTGCCGACCGAAGCTTCACTCCGTCCTCCAATGGCGCGGGTTGCACTGTGGCTCATCCAAATTCCCATCGACCGCTCCGGCGCCGCTCCTCCTCGCTCACCCCCTTGGGAGAACCCGCCCCGATTCCACTCCCAGAGCCTCAGGTCTTCCCCAGCTGCATTCTGTTGTATCATCTGCATTCATGCTTCAAGATACTTGAAATCTGTTGTACGAATGTAAGGATTAGGAAGAATGCGATACCTGATACCTTCCTGAGTAAAGATTTTTGGGCAACGAAGTCGAATCGTGAATCTGTGTTACATTTGTCCCTGGTTGCAGTCGGGAGCGCCGATTATGTCGTGGAGCCCGGGACGAGTGTTAAGTTCCCCAAGGAGTTGCAGGTTCCAGGCTGCTCCAGCTCTTTGGTTCTACTTGGCACAGGTGATCTGCTGTTGAACTATCTATCACTTGTTTGATAGCTTTATCGTATTGCTTTTGTTTCGATTTTGTCTTTCAATTGCGGGCGAGTTGGTGCTTTCCGACTTTGTTCTATTTAGCTTTTTGATGCATACTTCTCTTGCAAGCAAATCCTCAAACAGAGGAAACACAAGCTTTTATTACAACAATGTCGGGCAGAAATAGTTTGTAAGATATGCGACAAGCCATAACGATCACATGATCCATGGTATGATTAAAGAGATATTACAACAAACAAGAAATGTTCTTCAGTATCTTTCTCAAAAATGTGAAAGATTTCTTCTTCTTTTTAGTCCATGGGCTGAAGGTACAAGAATATGAACATTTCCAAGACTTAAATGCAGTTCATGAGTGGGTTTTAGTTAAAGCATCACCATGTCCATATAGACTTTCACAGAAAGGTACAACATAAATACCTGTTGCGTGATATTGATTCTTCTGCAGTTCTGCATCTCCTGAAAAGGAATAGGGACTGGTGATTGATAGGTTAAATATGATGAATTTGATCAATATCTATACCAAACAACATCTTGCCATCTACTGAACCTTGACCTTTTTAACAACTCCCAACAAAAGAGGAGGGCCTGCAAGAAAGATAATGGAAATAAAGTTAGAGAGAACTTGTTAAGTGTAAGGACTGCTCAGCATTCAATGGAAACCAATTATTACAAGCTACTGTTCACTAATGAATTAGGTGAAACAGTACCATAGTTTGATATTACCCAATTGCTCTTCTTCTTGGTTAAGTTTATAGCTACCTTCTGATTACTTTTGCTGTTCATGATTTTGTTTTATTTTCATCGTCGTCTCTGTGTAAGGATAAGGTAGTCTAAAATCCCTCTACTAATTCATTTAATTTTCAGTTAGGATTTCTTATTTTGTATGATATTGGTATTTGGATTTTCTTGGTAGCCTAAAAATAGATCTGTAAAAAGATCTATGTACATACAAGCACTCTTTTATTTTGTGTAAATGTCACAAGTTGTTCTTTTCTACATTCTAGCTCCTTGCTATAATTCATTTGTCCATATTCAAACAAATGGTTGATGTTTTTTGGTATAAAATCCATTTGTGGTTGGCTTAGCGGCTACTTCAGTGAACTATTTGTAAATTCAACTTGTAAGTGCAGGCTATAGGGAGAAGGTCTTTGCCATTATTGGTGTCAAGGTGTATTCTGCTGGTTTCTATGCCGATTTGTCTATCAGGAATACATTTGACAGCTGGAAAGGGAAATCATCGACTGAACTTTTAGAGGATTCCTCATTGTTCAGTTCCATCTTCCATGGTATTGCCTACTGGAAACCTAATTTCTGAAGAATATAACATAACAAATAACTAGCATTCTGATATGACTATATGCAGCACCTTTGGAGAAATCACTAAATATCATGCTAGTTAGAGACGTTGATGGTAAAACTTTTTGGACTGCCTTGGATGATGTTATTTCTCCGAGAATCAAGAAGCCAACGGCCGATGACGAATCCACACTATCAACTTTCCAAAACACCTTTCAAGGGCGTGATCTTAAAAGAGGAACTATGATAGTTTTGACCTGGGTGGAGCCATCGAAAATGCTGGTATGAAAGCTTTTAGGTTGATTGGGTCTTTACTGTATCATCCTGGAGTGGCGCGCTTTATTCAAATTAATACTATGATCTTCTCTTTTTCTGTTTGAACTTTGAAATTTATGAGGTTTCTGATTCATGTAGATTTCCATCTCGTCTAGTGGGTTTCCTTCAAATGTTGATGCTGAAATCAAGTCCATGAATGTCAACTTGGCACTTTATGATGGGTTCTTCGGAGATAATCCTGTTTCCCCTACTTTAAAGGCCTCGGTTGCTGATGGGTTGAGAATGTTGCATGGTTAGCTCCAAATTCAGGTACGCGTGTGTGTTCTCAATCAAAGTGATTCTTATTTTATTTTGCACAACTACAAATGCCAAAAAGAGAGGAAATTGACAGGCATTTTCAATCACTCAAACAAATGTTTGTTAATTTTATTCTCTGTTGTGGCTTCACGATTCTATTTGCCGCTAAAAAACTATTTCAATAATTGCTTATCAACTGCATATGTTATCAATTATATGTAGTTGGGACTTTACGGCTTGTTGTTATCGTTGTTACGTGTGACTACATATGTATGTCGTCAGTTATTCCTCGTACATGTGGATTTTAGCAACTTCTGATGCAATTATTTTTGTATTAATTATATGATTTCTACTTAATAAAGAAAGAATATGTAACACCAATGGAACACCACTGATGAGGGTAATAATAATGATGGAACATAAACTAACGTCGTCTGCTCCCGGGTGACGTCTCCTGGGTCACGCGGACTGAGGAGACGCATGAGTCGTCTGCCTCGATCTGACCTGACAACGCCGGGCCGAGACATACCAAAACGTCGACCGAGGCATGTCGCCATCTTGTAGGAGCCCGATCCTCCACGCAACCCCAATGCCGGGGTCAGACGCCTTCCTAGGTACGGTCCTGCTCCCTGCGAGTGGGCACATCAACAATGGTGACCTTCCCTATAAAAACCCTCGCATTCGGAACGAGAAAAGGGAAAAAAAAAAAAAGAAGAGAAATCCTTCTAAGATTATCGACTGACTTGACCGTTGGAGGGGTTAGATCGAGCTCTCCCGACCCGACCTATATGCAAGGACGAAGACGAAGTGCCTCCCACCACGCGCCCAGGCTAGGAGTTCCCTCCTGGAAGAAACGGTTGTCTCGTCGAGACCGGACCAACGTAGTCGGCTATCTCAACACTCTCGAGGGTAATCCAGGAAGATCCCTGTTCATTCGGACCCGAACCCAACCGTGTTGGCCCCGAGGTCGCGGCTTAAAGTTGTTGACACCAACAACTGTCATGTAGGCATTTTGGCCCATCATTATAAAAGCCAAGAAAGGATGGGAAGATAATAAGCCTTCTCAGTTTATATTACAATTTTAGTCTCTGCTGTACCTGCATGAATTTATTTGCTGTATTTTTTGTAATATTTTTTTTCTTAAAATGTTTGTTAATCACATACATCGCCAATTTTTTGCTCATACATGTCCGTAACTACGCATGCTATCGATTATTGCTAATAGATGTGCATTTTGATTTTACTGACTTCTGAAGCAGTAATTTTTGTATTAATCGTATGATTTCACTTGATGATGTAGAAGGAGTCAGTACCAATTGAATGCTGACACGTTGCAACTATGTTGATACCTTCGTGAATTTATCTAGTGTTTTTTTTGTAATAAAAAACAAGAAAACTATATTAATAAGTGCTTGTTGACTACATTACATATATTGTCAGCTTACTCATCATAACATGTGAATGCTTGATCAAAAAGATTTCACCGAAAAAGCTGAGACTTATTATTATTTTTTTTCAAATAAAATATAAATAATGAACTCTAGCATAATTAGTTAGTTAGTCAATTTGTGTAGGTAAAATATAGCATCAAATGGAATAAATACATCATGTACAAGATTAAATATTTATGGAGGATCAATCCCTCGCACCAATCTCACAATATGTAACCTCTATACCCCTTTCTATTCGACGTGAAATAATAGGCCATTTTTTATAATAGTTAATTTAATATAAAAATTTTCTTTTCAGCCATCCAAGTTCAAATGGCATTTGCTCTATTTAACCATTAGATGGTTAATGGTATTATTGTTCCTCATGGATATCTGCACTTGAGTCGAAAAGAAAGTAAGCAATCTAAGAAATATTCCACTGGGGTAATTTTCGAACATCGAATGTAACTTTATTACCAGCTTTCCATACTAATCAAAAGGTGTACATAATTAAGGTTGTGAGATGTAGTACCCGAATCTCACATTTATTAAATTATAATTAACATATCCTATATATTATCTTTACTCGGTAGTAAAGATTTATGATTATTATGTTTTATAAATATGACGAATGATATACTTATTTTTTTATTTTTAAAATTAAAGTACATATTTTTTTAAAAGTATTATTTTAAGTATTTTATGAAATATTAGTTAAGCATGTATAATAGTCAATATTTATTTTAAGCATATTTTACAATGAAAAAGGAATATTCCTTCAGTGTAATAAGTTTAATTATATTAAGGAATATCTGGAGGATAATAAACTATTTAAACATGAATAGAGTAATAAAAAATTAAATAAAAATATAAATCAAAGAGAAGTATTATACTAAAAATATTAAGATACATAAATGAGATTGAATGATGAGCTTATACAAAAACTATTATATTTGTTAAACTAAATTAGACTTAATTGAAGTTATTACAATCTTATAATTATATTAGTAAAAGTTGAAAAAAATTAAAATAAGGTCCAATGAGATTGAACCCTATACCTCAATATAATCTCACATCATCCTTATCTTATTTTGGTTTCATCCTCTTTACCAATATGATAATCTATGACTCTTTCTCTTGTTCGTTAGTCATTATCTTAGTTTTTTCTATGGAGGTTAAGAAACCACACCTCTAAAGAATTTGAGATAAAAAAAACTCAATTCTTCACTTGCTCTACCTAGAATTTCGATTTTATAAATTATAGACTAAAATTTTAGTAATTTTTTAGTTACCTAAACTTTGAATTAATATTTACTTTTTGGATATATTTTGTGTGAATCTCTTATGGTTATAAAGCCTTTAGTATGATCTTAATATGAGATTAGTACATATAGTCATAGTCATGAGTATTTCAATCTAAGGCACTCAAAATCTCTTATTTTCTAAGAAGAGATTTTATTTTAACTGAATTGACTTAGGTATATGATTAGACTTTGCCCTTTTAATATGTTTTAAAAGGATCCCTAAAGATTCGGTGACATTTGAAACTGTGTAAATGCCACCTCTGTGTATCGAGATATGAGGTTTATAAATTCAGATAGTCCCTTAGACTAAGTATAATCTATTTTATTAGAGATTTTATCATTTTTTAATGAATTATTGTTATAAGGTATTATAAATCAATAATTCAAGAGGTAGGGATTTTAATTATGATATTTCATGATCTTATACTCCTAATTTGATAGGTGTATCACTCTTTAGTACACTCGATCATGATTTTTTACTATCAACTTTATTTTTAAGTTAAATCAAGTAAATACAAGTTTAATTCACTGTAAAATAGTGATAGTATAAATTATTATATTCGTAATATATTTTATAAAATATGTTTGGAATGATATAATTGTTATTAGCTACATACACTATATATATAGATTTATAATAGATTTA